AGCGCACTCTATTCTACCATCACGTGCCTTCGGATCGTCACATGGAACTATGGGAAGTCAACAATAAGGTCCATAAAAAGGGACTAGAGATAGTCAAACCAGGCATGCGCTGTAGCGATGTTGCAAGAGAGCTAAACGAGATCTACATGGAACACGACATTCTGCAGTACCGTGTCATTGGTTATGGTCATTCCACGGGTGTTCTTACTCATTACTACGGGAGGGACTGGGGTCTAGAGTTCCTGGAACACGTGGACACTGTTTTAGAACCAGGCATGGTCATCACCATGGAACCCATGATAGTGGTTCCCGAAGGACAACCCGGAGCGGGCGGGTACAGGGAACATGATACGCTGATAATCACGGAAAATGGAACTGAAAATACAACTGCTTCGTTTCCTATTGGTCCAGAGCAGAATATTGTCAAAGACTGATGGCATTTGCAATAGAGACCAGTCCAGACGGTCTCAAAGGGGTTAACTGTCAACCGTAAAACGGCAAACATTTTTTCGTTGCGCGTAAAAGTTAAAACAAATAAGCCGCATAGTCGTAAAAATATATCCCGCGAAAACATTATCTAGCCACAATATCTAATTTCTTTTCTTTTTTTTTTTTTTTTTAATCTAATTTCTTATCTGGCCCGGATTTCTCGAAGCATGGTTAGTGCTAACCAGCGTTAAATACCATGGAAACCTATACATTTTGATACCTCTTAACCAACGGTTAGCACTAACCAGGCTTCGAGCAACCGGCCCCTGGACTCGTAGATTATAAAGGTTTTTTAAAAATCTTGAAGGTCCACAGCAACTTTTGCAACTTGGAAATTCAACGATTTTAAATTTTAAATCAGTTTCCTTTTTTATAAGATTCCTCTCGACCGTAATGGAAAGAAATTCAACCATAATTATAGGGACCTCAAGCAGTGACGACGGCGACGAGAACGGTAAAAAGGCAATAGATTTTATGGGCAAAACAACAACTTTGCATATCACCGCCACACACTTGCCGTTATCGCACGACTACGACGTGAAACGTCATATTTTAGCGTTTTATGGAGGACGTGAACACATGACAACAGTTTTCATATTCTTTTCGTGAACTTTGACATTGACCTTTAGGATTCAACTCCAGAAAGCATCGCCAAAATTTGACAAATTGAACACGGTGGAACAAAAGCGATGAAGCTGAAAAAGAACGAGCTTTCTTTTTAAGAGACGTTTTCGTTGCCGTCGCCGTCGTTTTTGTTTAAGCTCCCTAATCTCCATATTCATGAACCGCTAACCGTTTTAACACTCCATTATCACCCTCTATCAAGACTCCTAAAACATGGCCACGGAAGGAGTACACATCCAAGCTAGGAAAGAAGCCAACCTGTTCAATGTGACACGATTGAAAGCTAGAACCAAGATTAACCTGATAGTCATCAGAGGATTGTTCTTCGCAGACGACAGCGCTCTTATATCACACAGTGCTACCGATAGGCAAGTCCTAGTTGACAAATTTGCCAAAGCCGCGTCACAGTTTAGCCTTAAGATCAACATTAAAAAGACGGCGTGCCTCTACCAACCACCTAAATACCTGACTGTTGCTGCGCCGACACCAATCAATGAGGAGAACCAACCGCTCCGCTAATGTGCACAAATTTCACCTATCTGGGCAGTACAGTCTCACAATCCGCAAGTCTCGAACAAGAAATCACGCTGAGAATGGGTAAGGCTAGCGCTGCCTACGGGAAATTTCAGAAAAGACTGTGGATGTTACCATCAGGACTAAATGTAAGGTATATCGTGCTATTGTGCTCAGTACACTCCTCTACAGTGCAGAGACTTGAACCATATACCAGTCACAGCCTCCTCCTCAAGCGCTTCGTTTTTCGCATCCATCTCCGTTCGCTGACCACTACTTGGCGTTCTCTGGTACCCTTCCCATGTCTGCCTTCCGCTTCGCTGCAGAGCGGGCAACAGAAGAAGGGCGGAAGGAAACGCGCGTGTAAAAGTAGCTCTCTCTCTCGTCTGGGTACGAGGCAGTACCAGTCACAAGTGAAGAAGCTACAGGCCTACATGATGCCCCATCTCAGAGAGATAAAGAACATATCTTGGAAAGACAAAATCACAAAGTAATTCTAGAGAAGGCTGACCTACCGCCTATAGCTGATATTTTCATTCACATGAACCTGAAATGGCTCGGCCATGTGGAGAGGGTGGACTTTGCCAGGCTTCCCAGGCAGCTTTTGTATTCCTAGGCTATTGTATTCCCAGTTACGCGATGGAAAGAGAAATCAAGGAAGGCCTAGGCTAAGATTCAAGGACATCGTGACAAGAAACCTGAAGCGGAGGAACATTTTTGTAAATTCTTGGAGGTAGCGAGCAAAGGACAGAACGACCTGGACGAACCTGATTAAAGCTTGAACTCTTCATGGAACAGTCATTGTCGCTTCGACAGACTGCTTCACTAACTAACTATCAAGACTCCTGTGTCGGAGACAAAAATTATTATACCTTTTATTATCGATTTTATTATCTTTTATTATCGATCTGTATTTAAAGTAGAATGCAAAGACAAAGGTAACGGTAGTTAAAATCAGACGAGCATGTTTGCAAGAACTGACTACCTTCCCACTCTCCCCTGTAGAAGTTCCTATTGGTAATCAAAGAATAAACAACAATAGACCATTCCCGAGTTCAAAAAATGAGGCTTAGTGCAAAAACTTACCTACTTTCTTGTGAAAATGAATTTTATTTGCAAGAGAATAAAAGTCATTTTCATATAAATAGCTTTGCACTTAACTTCGCTTTGAAACGGAGGCTTTGTGCAACGTGGAAATGGCCTATTTGAAAAAAAAAGTAAACTCGCAGAGGACCAAGGGAAGAGGGAAAAGACCCATCGTCCCTTGTGCTCTTTTCCTCTCTCGCGAGCCTCCTACTGGTAGCACAAAGAGACTTCTAGGGAGGAGAGAGGTATGGTGCAGCTTTAGTTGAAAGGAAAAACATATGGCCAACTCTAATACTTCAGGATCCTGATAACTTTAACACAACGGTCTTTTTTTTTCTCTACTGAATATGAACTAAGTATCCTTAGCAGCTGTACTGGAAAAAACGTTTTGTCCATATGTAACAACTTATTGGTACTTCAGTAATTTCTCGATTGGGCGAGACAGTATTTCGAGGGGTTTTATTTTCGAGACTTAAATAGCAAAATATGAAAACGGGCATTAAATTTCGTTAAAAAAGCGTTCTCAATTTCACTTTATTTCTCAACAAGTCTGAACTTTCAGCAATTTCTTGATAAACTTGTACAATCAAAACGCATATTTCTTTTTTGTACGAATCTACCCGATTCATTTGAAGATGTTAGCTAGATTCTCTACTCCATGTGTGAAGTCTTTACAAATTTATGTTATTTCAGAACAGAGGATAAAAAATGGAGTTAACCAGTAAAACTAGTTAATAATGTCGGTATTTGTCGAGACACATCCTGTATAATGTCGTTGTTCTTACATGTTAATCCTTTTCTCTGTGATTTTCATTTTCTATATGGGATTATATTTCTCGTGTTTATATCTCGCGAGGATTTTTTTACAATCTCGAAAAACGCGAAATTAAGTCCCAATAAGGTACCTATCAAATCCTAAAATGTTATTGTTATCATGCAGGCTGAGCGATACCATCCTTTCGTTCGCCTTCCACTACGATCTTTACATCTCCATTTCGGCCATCAAATCATCAGCATCTACTGGAGACTTAACTGAAGTTCGTTTCCCAAGTCGAGACCGAGATGAAGTTGAACTGAAAAAAGAAGCAGACAACGGTTAATTAATTCCCTGTTCAGCTTTGGCCATGGTTACAGAAATTTTATTCCCGCTCTAAGGCCCCCAACGGTTAGGTTATAGATGCATGCATCTCTACCAATCTTCCGTTTAAATTTAAAATCAGAGTTTAAATTTTGACTTAAAATGATGATATAACGTCTGTAGGCTTATCAGCTTGTTTTGAGACGTTTTTCTTATTTCGCTTATAACCTGTTGAGAATGAGTAATAAATCCAACTCCTTCGAAAGTGATCTACTGTATTTCCACAAAGGACCCGTTCCGTACAAAAGCTGATTACATCTGAATATATCGCGTGAGCATGCAAACCTAAAATACATCAGTAACATCTGTTCATTGTTCCTGTTCACGATAAGAACCGACAACGTTGATTGACTTAATATATCATTCCGTTTGCTATAATAACATCTAACCTATTAAGCGTAAAAGCGAATTATCTGTAATCCGATCAAAAAATGATTAACTTGACAGCTCCTAGTAACGCAATAGCAAAGTAATAAAAAACAAAACAAAAACAATGTCACACTATTTCAGAAAGCTATCGACACTCCCCCCTTGAGCACTTGTCCTAGTGGCTCAAAGAGAATGTTCAACAGTTCAGTTCTTAGCCTAACAAGTGGTCAATAAGCTTGATTTTCTCTTCTGCAACAACCGCTGCGGTTCGACGAGATCTTGTCCGTGTAGCTGAAACTCCGTCATTCACTCCGCAAGGTTCATCTTCCGTGATACTATTTGGATTGGTTGATTCTGCGTGGCTAGCATGAACTTCCAGAGGAAACAACTCTTGAAGGGGTCTCTCGATAAGAGTCTTCTTTCCTGCAACTAACACTCGTGCTCCGCGAACCTTTCCATCTCTTCCTTTGATCAAATCTGTAATTCTCGCAAGCTTCCAGAACGCTCTTTGTGAGGTTCCCTGGTCGTGCAAGATAACAACATCATTAATTCGCACAGGAGGTAACGTGACATTCTTGCCCTTGGGACGGTGAAATTCTCTCAGGTCGACGAGATATTCTCGTTGCCATCTTCTTCTAA